ATTTTCAGGGAGCAGTTCCAGGGTGGGGGGGAGCCTTATGGAGCATCGAGGGGCAGTGGCCGTGAGCATCATGGATTGTCCTAGGGTGGAGAGCTTCACATAGCATTGCAGGTTGGCAGAGGTCATGCAATGGAGGCCAGGCTAGGCCTAAGGACCCTACTTGCACACGATTTCGTGCGCTGGGTCTCTAGTGTAAGAATAATTGAAAACAAGCCAGTGTTACTAGGTTATAGTGAACACTGGATCTTGTGGCATAAAATGAATTCAGAGAATGGAAAGCAAGTTAATTCTTCCGGGCTTTTAGATGAAGTTAAATGAATTTGGTTTTTGTTGAAATTATTATGGGGAGCCATGAAAAAATTAGATTATTTTTAAAACCTGTTGAGGTGAATTGGTAAGATAAACTGGACCACAGGGGTGGCAGGAGAGTTGGAGAAGATCTAGATAATTATGAAATATATTTTAGAGGTATAATCAGTAGACCTTATTAAGGGATTTTAGGTAAGTAACTTTTGGCTATAGCTGATGGATAAATTTGATGTGCTATTTTTTTCTCAGATGGAAAAGACAGGAAGGAATAGATTTTAGACCAAACATTAAGAATAACAGAGCAGAATGGTGATTACCAGGGGCTAGAACAGCAGTCGCCAACCAGTGGTCTGTCCACTGGTGGTCCATGAGGTCTGAAAGGTTGGCAACTGCTGGGCTAGAGGGTGGGGGAATTGAGAAGATGTTGAGCAAAGGATTCAAACTTGCAGTTGGAAGATGATCATAATCATCTCTAAGTTCTAGAGATTTAATACACAGCATTGTGATTATAGTTAATATTATGATTATAACTTAGTGTTCAAAGTTCTTAAGGAACTAGATCCTTTTTTTTTATGAGATCAGATCTTAAATGTTATCACCACAAAAAAGAAATGAAAGTTATATGACTTGATGGAGATGTTAACACTACTACCGTAGAAATCATATTGCAACATAAATGTATTGAATCAACATGTTTACACCTTATACTACGTTATATGTCAGTTGTAACTTAGTTCAAAAAATATTTTAAAATGCATTAAAAAAAACAAAATAGCTTGAGCTATAACATCATACAGTGAGTTACATAGTATATAAATCTAAAGTGTATGGATTTCTTTCATTCCCCCTTCCCTGCTCATTCTCCCTCTCCCAGAGGTAACCACTATTCTACCTTTTTGTCCTAAGTTTTACTTGTTATTAAATTTCAGATAAATTGAAGTATGCAGTATATACATTTGTGTTTGTGATTATTCATTCATATTATCATATAGGTTGAAAGTAGAAGGATGGGAAACAGATATACTAAGCAAACTCCAACTAAAAGAGGTGGTATATTTACATTATTATTTGACAAAGTAGACTTTAAGACAAGAAGTATTATTAGAGATAAAGTGTCACATTTTATAACCAATAAAAGGGGCCAGTTCAACAGGAAGACATAATCATCAAAAGTTATATTACTATATGACTTCATTTCAGTATACACTGGGTGGCCAGATTTATGAC